GCTGCTACTGCTGCTGCTGCTCCTGTTGCTACTGCTGCTCCTGCGTGCTGCGCCACTATGGCTTCGCTTCGAGTTCTCACGTTCGATCATGAAGGCAGACCAATTCAGTTTGACACGTGGCTCGACGATCTGCAGCTGTACCTACTGAGCGATTCTAAGGACAGTGTTTCGCTGTTTTACCTCGCATCAGGTGCCGCTACTGCCCCTCCCGCCACAGCTGACAGTGCGACTCGCTCACAGTGGCTTACTCACGACGCTGCTGCCCGCTTGGCCATTCGCAACCACCTGCCATTAGCCGAATGCGCTCACTTCGGACATCACAGGACAGCACAGGCGCTGTACGACGCTGTAGTCGCTCGCTACTCCTCACGTGCCACTGCTGCTCTAGGCCGCCTGCTTCTGCCCTACCTGTTCCACAGGCTCTTCCCATACCTGCGCCACTAGTGCAGTTGCTGTAGGTGCTGCTCGTGGCACTCCGCGCCCGCCCTTCTTTGAGGAGTGCTCCCCCTCCCCCCTTGCCCCCTCCTACGCCTCTGCTGCTGCTGCTGACGTCCCTGTTGCTGAGGACGTCGGGGCCGCTTCTGCTAGCGCGAAGTGCCGCAGCAGCAAAGGCAATGGGGGCAGGGGTGGTGGAGGTGGCAGCGGGAGTGGTGGTGGGGGCAGCAGTGGAGGTGGTGGAGGTAGTGGAGGTGGTGGCTGTGGTGGGACTGGTGGCGGGGGTGGGGGCTTTGGTGGCGGCGGTGGAGGCAGCGGTGGGAGTGGCGAAAGTGGCAGTGGAAGGACTGGTGGTGGTAGGACTTGAGCTCGGCGTAGAGTTTTTGGAGGTGGCCAGCGACAGCAGCAGCAGCGTGGGAGCGAGACCCAGTCGCCCTAGCAGCTTCGTGAGTGGTTGTTTCAGCGTGGGATGTCTGGGGGTAGTGGTAGCTGCCCGTATGTCATTCGCATGGGTGACCGTGCTGGTCAGACATGCGGGAGGCTTCACACTCAGCACCGCTACTTCTCCGGCCTCGACGACGCTTGGCGTGCTGAGTTTGGTGATGACGTTGAGCGCCCTCGCTGGGCAGATCTGCTTAGGTCTGGAGTTGCGATCTTTGACCTAGACTTTGATGTTATCCTTGTTGCTATGTAGGCTTTGTCTGTTAGTGCTGAGGGTGACTGTTACCGGTGTGTGCCACCTGACCCAGTTATAGCGGCTGCAGCTCTAGGTGCTAGTGAGTCTGGTACTCTCCCAGGTACTGCGCCTGCCGAGGCTTTGCACACCTTCACGCTGGACTCAGGTGCCTCACACTGTTTCTTTCGTGACAGCACCACCCTCACTCCTCTCTTTGCACCTGTCCCAGTCCGACTAGCTGACACCTCCCGGAGCCCACTCGTTGCCCACTCCTCCACTGTTCTCCCGTGTCCGGCGGTTCCGTCCGACTCATTGTCAGGTCTTCACTTCCCCTCGTTCACTACCACCACTCCTAGGGGTCAGCGGTGTTGGTGCAACCCTACGGTTTGCATTCGGCTTGTTGTCCGTGTGCGTGCATGCGTGTGTGCATGGAATGGTATGAGGGCATGAAATAATATATATTTCATGCTTACAATAGTGTGTGAATGATTTTTGAATGTGTGTGTCGAGTCAATAGCGAGTTATCGCTAGTCGAGTGTCACGTCGTCGTTTGCGAGTCGTGTGCGGTTTTCTATTTTGTCGTGTGTGGAACGTTCGGCGTGTCGCATGTGTGCGCAGCAGACTTCCAAGAACTCAAGGAAGAATTTATCTTGAAGAACCAGAGCCTTGGTTTCAAGAATCAAGTGATTTCGAAGCTCTCCAAAAGGGTAAACTTTAAGATAGTGATAATAGTTGCATTAGTTCTTGTAGTGTAACATTTCTCTTGGTGTAGGCCCTTGTGGAGGGTATTTTCGAGACCCTTCGTGGTTGGGGACAGTTTGGCACTGTTCCACATCCCTGTACCTCGGCTCTTGGGGTTTGTAGGAGCTGGGAGTCATTCCCAACTCGTAACTCTTCCTATCTTGTGTTCTAAGACTATAGTGGCTGCCATAGTGCCGTTCGTTCAAACCAACGCTGTGTCGTCAATTCTGTATGAAATCGTGCAATCTAAATTAATTATTTTAGGCGACGTTATGACGCTCCAGATCCAAGTTGAATCATGTCATTTGAAGCTGAGACCAGAACGCTATCAACGTTTGAAGCCGCTGTGCAGAAATCCGACTGTGCTCTCTATATTTCGTTTTAGGCACATTCAAGCCTACTGTGACTATAACAAGTGGTATCAGAGCCCCTTGGAGCAGTTTCGACGATGGCTGGACCTGAGGAAAGGGGTGGCAGAGGTGCTGGTGGCAGTGGAGAAGCCCAAGCTCAAGGCCAACCCCGTGATTCAGCCATGGCGCCCATGCAACCAAGTCTTGGCCCACCTAGGGATGAGCCTAGGGTGTTTGGGCTTGACAAGTTCAACCGGGACAACTTTGCTGAATGGTCCTTCAAGATGGAGAATGTATTTGACCACTATGACCTGCTGGAGGTGATGGAAGGAACGGAGAAGCGCCCCGAGAACAATCCGGAGAAGAGCCCGTGGGTGCGGAAGAGCGCACAAGGCTATCTCCTACTTGGGCAAGCGTTGGGGAGCAGCCAGGTCCGTCACATCAAGCCATTCCAGCGTGAACCAGAGAAGGAACCAAAGGCATGGGCTGCTCTCAAGGGTGTACACGCTCCTGCAACAGCGGCGGTAGCGGTGGTGTTGGAACGGCAAATGGCGGCACTACGAATTGGAGAAGACGAAGCGGTTGAAGAAGGGGTGCAGAAATTCTTCGACTTGTTGACGCGGCTTGAGTGAGCTGATTTGAACTATAAAGAGCTCCAAAAGAAGACTAAGTTGCTGGCCTTACTCCCAGAGTCATGGTCCTCGCTCATCATCAACCTCAATCGTGACTTGCCCGCCTCTCGCTTGAAGGCGTGAAGCGAGCGATCCTTCAAGAGGACTTCCGCCGCCGTGAGTTGGCGAGTGCGGATGGCGCCGGGGCAGCAAGCATCGGCCGAGGGTATGGCCGTGGAAGGGGCAGAGGACGAGGGGGAGGCAGATTTGGCAGCAACAACTTCAATGGAGGCCACGGGAGTGGGGGATATGGCAGCGACAACAAGAGCTACGGACGCGGTCGCGGCCGATTCGACGGCGAGTGCCACTATTGTCACAAGAGCGGACATATGTGGCGCGATTGCTACAAGCTCCGTGATGGATGGACTCCTGCTCAAGGCCAAGAGGGTAGAGGAGCAGGAGGAGGGAGAGGAAGAGGCCGTGGAGGCCGTGGCGGTCACGGAGGTGGTGCTGCAAGTATGAAGAACGGTGACATCGAGAGCAAGTCGAGGGACGATCGCTTTCCGGGTCAATTCTTCTTCGTGTCGACGCAAGCACCACCTGCACAAGAAAAGGATAAAAGATTTGAGGAGCCTGCTGCTGTGGGGAAGGTGACCCTACACTCCCTGGACTATTGGGTGATCGATAGCGGCGCTACCTACAGCATGACACCTCGTGCGGACTTGCTCACCGAACTCGAACCGTCACTGGTGAAGCATGTGACATCGGCTTTGGGGCAGCGAGCAGAGGTGAAAGGCATGGGTAAGGCCATGTTCAAGGGTGCTGATGGGAAGATGGTGGGCCTCAAGAACATGCTTTGGGTGCCCAACCTTGCTGCGAACATGATTTAGGTGTGGCGGTTGCAAAAGGCCGGCATGGACACGAGCTCGAAGGGAGCTAAGACCTACACCGCGAGGCTTGGCAAGCGGATTCTTCGGGACCTTCATGAGGATAGGGATGTCTACAACGAGATGTGGCAGATCCCTGTGGTCCCCATGCCTAAGGAGAGGCAAGTGGCAGCAAGCATCAGCACCAAGGGTGAAGCGGTTGGTAGCGGCGATGGCGCGAACGGCCGTGCTAAGGAGATTAAGTCCAAGAAGTGCAATCTTGGAGGGACCAGCAAACTCGGTGAACACAAGGAGAGTGGTGCAGCAGCTCAGAAGCAGCACAAGGGTGAGGAGAACCCCAAGGCAGCAGCGGAGGAGGACTACGGAGAGAGCATGTGGGGCACTATTGCGAGTGCGGCATTCTCCAATCCGACTTCGGCTACGGGGGAGTGTGATTGGTTGACCTTGCATCGCCGCATGGGGCATGTGGCCCTGCCCATCTTGCAGCAGCTAGTGAAGAATGAGATGGTTGCTGGCATACGTGTGAAGGGGGAGCTCGATGAGGTACTTGGCTGCCCGACGTGCATGCAAGCCAAGTTCAGCCGTTTTCCGTTCTCAAGTTCGGAGGCAACGGCTAAGGCACCACTTGATGAGGTGGTGATGGACGTGGTGGGCCCCTTGAAGCTTGGAGCTGCTGGAGCAGAGTACTTCCTCACCATTGTGGACGTCTACACCCGCATGACCTGGGTGTACGTGCTGTCCAAGAAGAGCGACGTGGCTGAAACGGTGAAGACCGATTGGTTGCCGATGGTGGAGCGGCAACAAGACCGGCTAGTGAAGGCAATTCGCACCGATCGAGGGGGAGAGTTCTTGAGCAAGGATTTCTCATTCTGGCTGAAGAAGAATGGCATAAGGCACTCCCTTACCACCATATTCCCCTGCAATGAACGGCGTCGCCGAGCGAGCGAACCGGACAATCACGGAGACCGCGCGCGGGTTGCTCATTGCGGCCGGGCTACACGACTATTTCTGGCCTGATGCAGTGCGGAGCGCGTGTGTGGCCAAGAACAGAGCCTTGACTCATGTCGGAGCAGACAAATGGGTGCCCTATGTGGAGTGGATTGGAAGGAAGCCAAAGGTGGATATGCTTCGGGTGTTCGGGTGCATGTGCATGGCGCTCGTGCCTAAGCATCTTCGGCACAACAAGCTCGGTGCCAAGGCGATATGGGCTGTGCACTTGGGCATGGCTCAAAACAGCAAGGGGTGGCTTCTTTGGGACCCATTCACCAAGAAATTCTTGGTGAGCAGGGACTGCAAATTCATGGAGAACCTGATGTATAAGGATTGGAAGGTGGAGAATGAGGCGAAGATATGTGTGCGGTTTGGGGAGGTGAAGAGTTCCGGTTTGGAGCATGTGGAGCTGCCCTTGGAGCTGAGCAGCAGCAGCACCACCACAAGGCAATCTTCCTTTTTGAATGGGGGAGAGGAGGCCAAGGATGCAGAGGAAGAAGAGGAGGAGGTGCAGCAAGTGAGCGAGCGAGCACCGACACTTCCTTCTCGCACCACGAGCGCTCCACGGATCCGAGTCACCCCGCAGCAACGCCATGAGAGCCTTCATGTCCCTGCAGCTGAGGAGGAAGGAAGGGGCAAGAGGAGAATCCAAGCCCCTAATAGGCTGACCTATAATGCATTGGGAAATCCAGCCAAGTCAGCTCTGGCCGGAGCGGCAATGATGGTTGGAGATGACGAAGAAAGTGAGTACGAGGAGTTTGCTTTCGCGTTCTTCTCTCCGGTGGAGATGCCGGGGGAACCAGCAACTCTCAAGGAGGCCTTGGAGAGTAGTGATGCTGAGGAGTGGAAGAAGTCAATGGAGAGTGAGTTGAAGAGCATTGAGGAGAACGGCACGTGTGGATTGGTGGAGCTACTGGAGGGGCGTAAGGCGATTACGTCCAAGTGGCTCTTCAAGCTCAAGTCCGACGCCGACGGCAAAATCTAGCGCTACAAGTCTAGGCTTGTGGCCAAGGGGTACGAGCAGAAGGAGAAGGTGGACTATAAGGAGTTGTTTGCTCCTGTGGTGAAGCCGACGACGCTGAGAACCCTACTCGTGGGTGCTGCCATCAAAGGATGGGTGGTGAAACAAATGGACGTGACAACCGCGTTCCTCAACGGCATTCTCGAAGAAGAGATTTTCATGGCGCAGCCAGAGGGGTTTGATGATGGTAATGGCAGAGTGTGGAAGCTGAAGAAGGCGCTCTATGGGCTCAAGCAAGCCCCTAGGCAGTGGTACTTGAAGCTGCGTGAAGTCTTGGAGGAGATCGGGTTCACTCCCTCATCTGCCGATCATTCCTTGTTCATGCTTGGCGAGGGGGAGTAGAGGAGTTTCATGGTGGTTTATGTGGATGAAATCCTCATTTTCTCACCCTCCTCTGACCTTGTGAAGGAGGTGATGCCGAAGCTTCAAGACAAGTTCAAGTGCAAGGCCCTTGGTGACATGAGCTTCTACCTCGGGCTTCACATTGAACGCGATGTGGAGAAGCGGTGCATGCGGGTGCATCAACGTAAGTACCTGGAGGAATTGGCTGCCAACTTTGGGCAGAGTGAAGGTCATGTGGCTACACCCTTTCCCTCTGGGTTCAAGTGTGTGAAGGGACCAAAGGAGGAGAGCGTTGGTGAAGAGGAGAGGCGCCGTTTTCACTCGTTGGTGGGCAGCCTCATGTACGCGGCGGTAAACACCCGACCAGACGTCGCGTTTGCTACCGGACAGTTGGCTAGGGTTGTTCAATGCCCTAACGAGGAGCAGGTAGCTGCTGGAATGAGGGTGGCCAAGTATCTTGGCCAAACACCGACCGTTGGGCTGCAATACTCGGCGGCGGCGCAAAGACGCCAAAAGGGCGCGGATGGTGTTGAACCCAGGCGTTTGTTTCTCACAGCATTCTCAAATGCTTATTACGCATCAGAATCAGAGGACATGACATGTGTTGGGGGGTTCATTTGCTTTGTTTGTGGAGGCCCAACTGCTTGGGAGAGCAAGAAGCAGGTGGATCAAGTATTGAGCTCAATGGAGTCCGAGTATATGGCACTCTTCCGTGCCGTACGAGAGATTGTGTGGCAGCGGCGTTTGTTGGCTGAATTGGGGGAGGAACAGCAAGGATCTACCCCACTCTAGTGTGACAGCCAGGGTGCCATTGCTCTTGCATGACTTCACCAAGCACATGAGGGTGAAGTGGCATTGGACGAGGAGTATGGTGGGTGCGAGTGATGTTGAGTTGCGCTACGTGAAGACGACATGGCAGCCAGCTGACATGATGACCAAGAGGCTGGTGGAGCAGCAGCATTGGAAGTGTTGCAAGCTGGCTGGGATGGCTCTGAAATGAAAGAGCAAGTTCCTAAGGCCAACAATCCGAGGGGAAGTTTGTTGGTGCAACCCTACGGTTCGCGTTCGGCTTGTTGTCCGTGTGCGTGCATGCGTGTGTGCATGAAATGGTATGAGGGCATGAAATAATATATATTTCATGCTTTCAATAGTGTGTGAATGATGAGGCATGATTTTTGAATGTGTGTGTCGAGTCAATAGCGAGTTATCGCTAGTCGAGTGTCACGTCGTCGTTTGCGAGTCGTGTGCGGTTTTCTATTTTGTCGTGTGTGGAACGTTCGGCGTGTCCCAGGTGTGCGCAGCAGACTTCCAAGAACTCAAGGAAGAATTTATCTTGAAGAACCAGAGCCTTGGTTTCAAGAAGCAAGAGATTTCGAAGCTCTCCAAAATGGTAAACTCCTAAAGTGAGAATAGTTGGATTACTTTTTGTAGTGTAACATTTCTCTTGGTGTCGGCCCTTGTGGAGGGTATTTTCGAGACCCTTCGTGGTTGGGGACAGTATGGCACTGTTCCACATCACTGTACCTCGGCTCTTGGGGTTTGTAGGAGCTGGGAGTCATTCCCAACTCGTAACTCTTCCTATCTTGTGTTCTAAGACTATAGTGGCTGCCATAGTGCCGTTCGTTCAAACCGACGCTGTGTCGTCAATTCTTTATGAAATCGTGCAATCTAAATTGATTATTGTAAGCGTTCTTAAGACAATCCAGATCCAAGTTGAATCAGGTCATTTAAACCTGAGACCAGAACGCTATCAACGTTTGAAGCCGCTGTGTAGAAATCCGACTGTGCTCTCTATCTTTCGTTTTAGGCACATTCAAGCCTATTGTGACTATAACAAGCGGGTGTTGATCTGCATGTGTACACTAACGGGCCGTCACCTGGCCACGTTCACCCGTCAGCCTGGGTCGAGTCTGTACACACTGGCTACCGAGTCTCCTCAGGTAGCTGCGTCTGCCCAGGTGTCTGCGTCAGGTCAGGTAGCACCCCATTGCTCGTGTCGCCTCCTTTCGCACCAGACTCTTCTCTGGCACCACCGCCTTGGTCACCCATCCCTACCACGCCTGCGTGGCATGCACTTCCGTCTCCATGTCACTGGTCTTCCCAGGTCTCTGCCTCCCCTCCCGCCCTCGCATGCTCCGCCCTGCCTTCCTTGCGTCGAGGGGCGGCAGCGCGCCGCTCCTCACTCCTCCTCGTTTCCCCCGACGACTGCTCCCCTGCAGACTCTCCTGATGGACGTGTGGGGCCCTGCCTGCGTCAGAAGACAGGGTCGCGAGCGCTAATTTCTGCTGGTTGTTTACGACTACACGCGTTACACCACGGCCTTCCCCTTGCGCAGCAAGGGTGAGGTCCCTGACATTCTGATCCCTTGGATCCGCGCTGTCCGTCTCCAGTTCCACGAGCGCTTTGGCCAGGACCTTCATGTCCTGCGTCTGCACTCTGACAGAGGTGGTGAGTTCTCCTCGACCTCTTGCGGGACTTTTGTCATGGGGAGGGCATCACCCAGTCGTTCACGATTTCAGCCTCTCCACAGCAGATTGGGATTGTTGAGCATTGCATTGGATTAGTCATGGAGGTCGCTCGTACCTCCATGATCCATGCGGCGGCTCCCCATTTTCTGTGGCCGTTTGCGGTCCAGTACGCTGCGCATCAGCTCAACCTTTGGCCCAGTGTCTCCTTGCCGGAGACATCGCCCACGCTGTGTTGGACGAGGGAGGTTGGCGATGCGTCGGTGTTTTCTGGGTCTGGGGCTCTCCTGCCTTTGTTCGCGATACATCCGCAGACAAGCTCTCCGCCCGTGCTATCCCCTGAGTCTTCCTTGGCTTTGTCCCTGATGCGCCTGGCTGGCAGTTTTACCAACCCACCCCGGCGGCCACTTCACCCTGAAAATCCACAAGCCATCGACTATGTTCGCCCCAGGTGGGGGAATCTCGTCAACGCAGGTGCCTATGGACTTCCACGATGCCATCTCGGCATCCATGGCTGCCTGCCACTGAGAGGAGTAAGGACCCGTAATCGCCTCTGCGTAAGAGCGCGGGGTAGGGATGTCTTGTGCATCCGGGTCTCCCTCAGGGGCAAGCAGCATGGAAGCTACGAGTAGTGCGAACAGGCGAGACAGGACAAGACGCAGGCTCACGACGCTCTGTAAGACCGCCGGACTGCTCAGTGTAAAGAGAAGGAGCAGGCAGTGGAGAGGCCGTCTGTAACGGCGGCTGCGACTGGTCAGGCGGGGGACAAAGGAGAGGAGGAGTAAGGCCAGTAGAAGACGGGGTACTAAGAACCTGCTGAAGTAGGGGAACGAAGTACGGTCGCGGCCGTACTGCACCACCAGGGTCAACAGCTCCAGCTCTTCCAGCTCCAGCACCTCCAACACCAGTGCCTCCAACTCTAGTGCCTCCTGCGCCAATGCCTCCAACTCCAGCTCCAGCGCCACCAGCGTCAGTAGCTCCGGACTCCGTAGGGTCTTTAGCTCCAGCACCCTCAACACCACCAGTCCCGGCACCTCCACTACCCCAGGTACGAGCACCTCCAGGACCAGCGATCGCAGTACCTCCAGTAACCCCAGCTCCAGCAGCAACTCCAGCACCTCCAGCTCCAGCAGCTCCACCTCGAAGGCTCGCACGCCGAACAAACCACTCATGCAGCTGCTGCGGAGACAGTCTCGGCGAAGCACCAGCAGAACCTCCAGACAAAGCAGCACCCTGACGAAGACATAGGGGATAGCACGGGCAGAGAGCTTGTCCGCGGATGTATCGCAAACAAAGGCACGAGAGCCCCAGACCCAGAAAACACCGACGCATTACCAACCTTCCCCGTCCAACGCAGTGTGGGTGAGGTCTCCGGCAAGGAGACACGGGTCCAGAGGTTGAGCTGATGGGCAGCGTACCGGACCGCAAACGGCCACAGAAAATGGGGAGCACCCGCATGGATCATGGAGGTACGAGCGACCTCCATGACTAAGCCAATGCGGCGCTCAGCAATCCCATTTTGCTGAGGGGAGTCTGGAAGCGTGAACGACTGGAGTATGCCCTCCCCACGACAAAAGTCCCACAAGAGGCTGGAGGAGAACTCAACACCTCTGTCAGAGTGCAGACGCAGGACCGGAAGGTCAGTATCGAACCGCTCGCGGAGCTGGAGACGGACTGTGCGGATCCAAGGGATCAGGACATCAATGATCTGACCCTTGCTGCGCAAGGGAAAGACCGTGGTGTACCGCGTGTAGTCGTCAACGACCAGCAGAAAGTAGCGCTCGCGGCTCAGTCCACTGACGCGGGCTGGGCCCCACATGTTCATGTCGAGAGTCTGCAGGGGAGCAGTCGTCGGGGGAAAAGAGGAGTGAGGAGCAGCGCGCTGCCGCCCCTCGACTCAAGGAAGGCAGGGTGGGGCAGGTGAGGGCGGCACGAAAGGCAGAGACCTGGGTAGACCAAAGACAAGAAGACGAGAGTGCATGCCACGAAGGCGTGGCAGAGAGGTGTTACCCAAGCGGTGGCGCCACAGAAGAGTCTGGTGCGACAGGAGGCGACATGAGCAAGAGGCGGCTACCTGACCTGACGCGGACACCTGTGTGGACGTAGCTACCTAAGAAGGCTCGGTAGCGAGTGTGTACAGACTCGACCCTGGCCGACGAGTGAACGTGGCCAGGTGACGTCCCGTCCGTGTGCACGTGCAGATTGACACATGCTGACCCCCAGGAGTGGTGGTAGTGACCATCGCATCCTGGAGGGCAGCGGTACTCACCAAGTTCGTAGAGAACGAGGGGAGGTGAAGACCTGACAGTGAGCCGGACGGAACCGCCGGACACGGGAGGACAGTGGAGGAACGGGCCACGACCAGTCCCCCGATGGGGTCAGCCAGTCTGACCGGGACAGGTGCAGGAAGAGGAGAGAGGGTGGTGCTGTCACGAAAGAAACAGCGCGAGGCGCCTGAGTCCAACATGAAGGTGTGCAGGGCCTCAGCAGGCGCAGTACCAGGGAGAGTACCAGACTCACTAGCACCTAGAGCAG